TGGTGAAAATCAGTGATTTTGATATCGTTGATATTGGACTAGCCTTGATAATGAAACTGTGTACAAACTCCTGTGTCCTTGATTTTTTGAAGTAAAAGGCTGGGTCAAGAGCTAAGGATTAGGAATATGAAGATGTAGAAACAAAGGTTAGCTGTTGGGCTTGGAAACTGGTAACAATTTAGACTATAAACCAGCCACATAGCAGAATCACTGAACTCCCAGTTCCCTGAAAGATACAGATAAATGTCCGACACACAGTCCTAGGTTGTTTTTATAGGAAGCAGACCCACCAGATGAAAAGTGCTGACTGTAAGAACGCAGACCCTAGACCATTTGAAACCAGAAGGTTGATGATGCTTGAAACCTCACCTTGATGCCAGCCAACCTGAGAATCGTGCATGAGCTAATCATGCACCCTGCAGCCCCTCCCTCATGTGGCCTTTAAAACCCTTCCCTGAAAGCCATTAGGGAGTTCAGGTCTTTTGAGCATGAGCTGCCCATTCTCCTTGCTTTTGCCCTGCAATAAACGCTGTACTTTCCTTCACCACAACCCAGTGTCAGTAGTTTGGCTTTTCTGCACACGGGCAAGTGGACCCAAGTTTAGTTTGGTAACAATAACACTAAATAATCATTAAGTTCGCTTGCTTTCTCCTAATGCATATTCTTAAAGTATGGTAATAGTATCATGTCATTAACAAAGAGGTGAGTAATTCTTCCTCTTCTTTTGCTAAGGACTTAGGACATAATTTATCTAAAAGCTGTATCATATAATGTCACTGCTTTTATAGTGAATATTCTGGCAAAACATTAAAATCTTGAAAACCATACACCTCCAATCACAGATAGGTCCTCTCTATGGGGTAAGGGCTGTGGTGGATTAATAGAAGTTACAGTGGCCTTTGATGGTTCGGAACTGTTTCCTCAATTGGATGAGACAGAATATAATACTCAAATTCATAAACAGGAGTTTCTTACTCATATTTCTACTTTTATTTTCTCAAAATTACATCACAGTTAATGTGTTTTGGCTGTATATAAATGTTATTTTGGATGTCATTAGCTACTATTAAATATAAAATTTACAGCCACACAAAAATATTTTTAGTGCCCAGCTTCCAAAATCAGACATACTTAGGTGCATAGCTCTCTCAATCATTTATTAGGAATGTTATTAACAAACTTGGGCAAAGTTATATGATGCCTTTGGATCTTTATCTATGAATGGTAATAAGAAGAGTATTGCCTTCATAAAGGTGGAGAGGAGATAATAAATTTATGCAGCACCTGGAAAATAGTACACCCTCAATCACTGAAAATGATTATTATTGCTATTATATGGAACAGAAAGAAAAATTAAGTGAAAAACAATTCACATATTCATTAATCTTTAGGACCAACCTGACATTGGAAGTAAAATTCTGGATCTACTACTAGAACAGCCTCTTTTACTTCAACTTCCTAAACTGTAGCCAGAATTCTGTACAAGCCAAGTCTATGTCTAAAAAATAAGCTGCTTTAACTCATGTGCAACTAAAACTGGAGTTTTAACATTCTAATATGACATAAAGGTGAAGTACTCCTATCTCTTCCCCTTCAACTCTATTATCCTGGAGAAACAAATTCCTTCTCTGAGCCTCTGGTTTGTCATAGATAAGTGTATTAAAATAACTTGCAGTCAGAGCAGAAATACATGAAATAGAGACCAAAAATAAAAACCAATAGAAAAGATCGATGAAACTAAGACCTGCTTTTTTGAAAAGATAAACAGAATTAATAAACCTTTAGCCAGATTCATCAAGAAACAAAGAGGGCCCAGTAAATAAAATTAGAAATGAAAGAGAGGTTACAACTGATATCACAGAAATACAAACAACCATAGGGGAATACTATGAACAGTTATATGCCAATAAATTGAACAACCTAGAAGAAATGGGAATTCTTAAAAACATACAATATTTCAAGGCTGAATCAGGAAGAAAGAGAAAATCTGATCAGACCAGTTACTAGTAGTGAAATCAAATCAGTTATCAAAAAACTCCAAACAACAACAAAAAAAAGATAGCTTCACAGGGGAATTCTACCAAATGTTGAAAGAAGAGTTAAAACCTATTCATCTCAAACTATTCCAAAAAAGTGAAGAGGAAGGAACACTTCCTAACGTATTCTTAGAGGCCAACATTATACTGAAACCAAAACTAGGAAAAGATACTACAAAAAAAGAAAACTACAGACCAATGTCCCTGATGAACATAGATGCAGAAATCTTCAACAAAATATTATCAAACCAAATTCAACCATACATCAAAAGGATCATACATCATGATAAAGTGGGACTTATTCCAGGGATGCAAGGATAGTTCAATATCCACAAATCATTCAATATGATACACCACATTAACAAAACAAAGAAAAAACACATGATCATCTCAATAGATGTGAAAAAACATTTGACAAAATTAAAAATCCATTTGTGATAAAAACTCTCAACAAATTTGGTACAGAGGAAACATATCTAAACATAATAAGGGCCACTTATGACAAACCCACAGCTAACCACATACTCAATGATAAAAAGATCAGAGCTTTTCCTCTAAGATCAGGAACAAGACGAGAATGCCCACTCTTGCCACTTCTATTTAACAAAGTATTGAAAATCCTAGCGCAGCAATCAGACAAGAAGAAGAAATGAAAGACATCCAAGTTGTAAAGGAAGAAGTAAAACTGTCACTATTTGCAGATGACATGGTACCACATATAGAAAACCTAAAAGACCCCACCACAAAACTATTAGAACTAATTAATGAATTCAGAAATTTGCAGGATACAAAATCAGTATACAGAAATCTGTTCCATTTCTATACAGCAATAATGAAATATCAGAAAGAGAAATTGAGAAAACAATCCCATTTACAATCCATCAAAAATAATAAAATACCTAGGAATGCTTTCTTTAACCAAGAAAGTGGAAGATCTGTACTCTGAAAACTGTAAGACACTGATAAAAGTAATTGAAGACAATACTAATAAATAGAAAGATACACAGTATTCATATATTAGAAGAATTAATATTGTTAAAATATATTTTCTACCCAAAGCAATCTACAGAATCAGTGCCACCCCTGTCAAAGTACCCATGGCATTTTTCACAGAATTTTATAATCCTAAAATTTGTGTGGAATCACAAAAGATCCCAAATAGCCAAAGCAATCTTGAGAAAAAAGGACAAGGCTGGAGGTACCACACTCCCATATTTGAAATGATATTACACAGTTATAGTAATCAAAACAGTATGGTGCTAGCACAAAAACAGACACATAGATCAATGGAATAAAATAGAGAGCCTAGAAATAAGCCCATATGTACATGATCAATTAATACGACAAAGGAGGCAAGAATACACAATGAGGAAAAGACAGCCTCTTTGATAAGTGGTGCTGGGAAAACTGGACAGCTACATGTAAAAGAATGAAACTAGAACATTTTCCCATACCAGATACAAAAATAAACTGAAAATGGATTAAAAACTTAAAATGTAAGCCCTGAAACCATAGAATTCTGAGAAGAAAACTTAGGCACTATGCTCTTTGACATTGGTCTTAGCAATATTTTTTGGATCTGATTCCTCTAGCAAAAGCAACAAAAGCAAAAATAAATAAATGGGACACAAACTAAAAAGCTTTTGCACAGCAAAGGAAACCATCAACAAAACAAAAAGGGAACCTACCGAATGGAAGAAGATATTTGCAAATATGTCCAATAAGGGGTTAATATCCAAAATATATAAAGGACTCATACAACTCAATATGAAAACAAACAAGCAAACAAACAACCCAATCAAAAAATGGGCATAAGATCTGAATAGGCATTTTTCCAAAGAAGACATACAGATGGCCATCAAACACATGAATAGATGCTCAACATCACTCATCATCAGGGAAATGAAAATCAAAACCACAATTAACTATCACCTCACCTGTCAGAAGGGCTGTCTTCAAAAAAGACAAGAAGTAACAAGTGTTGGCAAGAATGTGTAGAAAAGGGAACCCTCCTACACTTGGTGGGAATGCAAATTAGTGCAGCCACTATGGAAAACAGTATGATGGTTCCTCAAAATTTTAAAAATAGAACTACCATATGACTCAGAAATTCCACTTTTAAGTATTTATCTGAAGAAAATTCGAAAAGATACATGCACCCCAATGTTCATAGCAGCATTATTCACAATAGCCAAGGTATGAAAACAACTTGTGTCCATGTTTATACGGCTTTAGTGATTCTGCTCAATTTAAGTGCGCTTAAAAGGTCAGGCTTTGGGAAATTGGAAATAAGACTCCGAGATGAAGTTAGATGCCAGGAGACTAGGCAGACGATGAAGGCACAGAAAATGTATGTTACCCGCTTTGGCCCAAGAAGGTCATTTGTTAGTCTATTGTTGGTTTTTGTTGTTGTTGTTGTTGTTTGTTTGTTTTGTTTTGTTTTTTCAAACTAATGGTCAGAAATAGACCCTAAACGATTCCAGCTCCTTGAAAGGGTTTTCCTTCTGATCCAACCCTGCCCTCACCACCCCCGCCCGCATCGTCTCCAGCCCCTGGCGGGGACCACATTCTCCCGCTAGACGTGGGAGGGGATGCTCGCGCGGCCGGGACACCCCTGCCCTCCCCGGCCCCAACTCCGTCCCCAACTCCGTCCCCATCTTTGTCCCCAACTCCGTCCCCATCTCCATCCCCATCTCCGTCCCCAACTCCGTACCCATCAACTCCGTCCCCATCCCCGTCCCCAACTCCGTCCCCATCAACTCCGTCTCCATCATCTCCGTCCCCATCATCTCCATCCCCAACTACGTCCCCATCTCCGTCCCCACCTCCGTCCCCATCTCCGTCCCCAACGCCGTGCCCCTCTCCGTCCCCAACGACGTCCCCGCTCCGTTCCGCGGCCGCGCAGCGTCCCGACCGCACAGGCGCGGACCACACGGCGCAGGCTCGGCGGCCGGAGCAGGCGCGTCAGCCCATCTCGGGGACGCGGGGACGGGGACGCGGGGACGGGACGCAGCCGCTCTCCCCGCACCGGCGCGTCCGGCCCGAGCGCGCGTCCTCCGGGGCTGCGGGCGGGGCGCCAGGGTAGGTCGGCTCCGGGGGGAGGGGCGGCGCGGGGGTCCGGGATGAGCACCCCTGCGGCGAGGCCGGGCCGGGGCGCGGGGCGCCGCGGCGGCGGAAGGCGGAGGCGCAGCGCGGTGGGGGTGAGCTTGGCCGCAGGGGTGCAGTCGGCGGCGTTTGGTCTGCGGGGCCCGTCAGCCCCTGCCGCTGCCCCCTTCGGGAGGTGTGGGTGGACGCAGAAGGACAGGGTGGCATCTCTCTCTCCGCCCTTCAGACCTCCAGGACGGCCTCGGGCTTCCTGGCGCCGGGAGGGAAGGCGGGCGCAGTCCCTGCGGCCGTGGGCACAGGTGTCGGGGCCGGATGCCGCCGCTGGCTGGGGTGCGGGGCAGGGAGTCCAGTGCTGCGAGGTGACCGCGGGCAGCTGTGGGCCTGGTGAGCCCCTCCGTCGTCTTCGGGGGAGAGGACCAGGGAGGCGTCCCCTCCTGCTTGCTTAGGGCTGAGAAGGAGAAATGTGAGAAGATCAGACTTCCTGGGAGGAAGAGAGGTGAAAAACGTGACACAGGAGAAGCCAAATTATGAGAGGGAGCTGGGACTTCCGTGAACGCTGAGGAGTAGACCGGTCCCTTCCTGTGCAGGAAACAGTGAAGGAGACGCTGTTTATGGTTTGGGAATTAAAGATGCGGAAGAGGTCAAAATACTACAGGGTTTAGGTGGTGCTTAAAGGTTTGTTTGCTTGTTTTAATGCATCAGATAGGCAAGAATGTAGCTCTTCTGGAGCATGGAAAATGTTATTAAAATACAGCTAAGAAGAGTATTTGGAGAAGGCTGACTATATTTGCTATTTTATTTCATACAATGTTGCCTAGAATTTCTGGAGTCAGAAATCATCATTTGAATGATAAATGTCAGTATCACGTGGGTGGGAAAGCCAAAAGCTAACTTAAATCAATGAGCACCTTTTTTGGGTAAAAGGTAACTTGCGAATTTAATGTACATAAATAAAAACAATGAATTTAGACAGTGAAACTCTTTGATAATAGTTTTTTTTTCTTTTTTCTCTATCAGTCCTTTAATACTTACAATTATCTTTTCTTCGAGAATAATTTTATTGTTTTTGAAAAAATATACATGCGAAAGTCAAAGAACAGAGGAAATTTAAAAAACAAAACATTGATTTAAATGACCTAGTACGATGTAACCATCTTAAAACCGTGTAAACATCTTTCCATGTATCTTTCTAAGTGTATATTGATATACTGTGCAATTCAATATCAATTTACAATTTTATGAAACTATACAGTAGAAATTTTTGCATACTTACCTTGTATTCCTCATAGGGGTCTTATTTTCTATGAACCATTATTTAAACTAACTTTTACTATGAAACCATCACAAAATGTATAGTAAAGTATAACCACATAGGTTTGAGCAATGAGAATTTTTTTTAAAGCCAAGTAGCATTTATGCAAGTAAAACAAATCACAGACACTATACATGATTATACATGAAAACACCCATGATATGATTTTAAAAGTCTAAAAGTGGACTTCAAAGATGGAACTTACAGAGTTTTTTCTTCAGAAGAGAAAGAATAGAAAATTATACTGAATATATTTAATAAGCTTAAAATATGATAAAATCTTTTTTTTAATTATTTATTTTTATTTTTGGCTGTGTTGGGTCTTTGTTTCTGTGCGAGGGCTTTCTCTAGTTGCGGTGAGCGGGGGCCGCTCTTCATCGCGGTGCGCGGGCCTCTTACTATCGCGACCCCTCTTGTTGCGGAGCACAGGCTCCAGACGCGCAGGCTCAGTAGTTGTGGCGCACGGGCCTAGTTGCTCCGTGGCATATGGGATCGTCCCAGACCAGGGCTCGAGCCCGTGTCCCCTGCATTGGCAGGCAGATTCTCAACCACTGCGCCACCAGGGAAGCCCCAAAATATGATAAAATCTTAATGTTTGCACCAGTGTGCAAGACAGATGTTTGCCACGAGCAATGAGAACTTGATGTACAAGACACCCTTGTTCATTGGGTAGTAATGGTCGTACTCCTTAAAGAGTCGTGTAGTTACCGTTTGCCTCATAAATGTAAACATTTTCTTGTTCTTTCTTGTAGATCGATCTCCTGAAATTTAACTTTTCAAGATGAAGTTTGTATTGGCGGTGGCCTTTTTTATTTTAATTTCCTTGTGTGTTGAAGAAGCCTGTTCTAAAGAGAAGTCTTCAAAGAAAGGGAAGGGGAAAAAGAAGCAGTACCTATGCCCATCGTATGTTCTTCATGTCTTATATTCTTATACAGAGAAATATTATTGCATTTTTCATCAAAGTGGTTTATTGAAACACATGGCAACAGAACTTTCCCTATCAGAATTGAGCCCATTTGTTTCATACGTAGAAAGTGAGCGAAGAGGGCTTTACAGTGGGAAAGCTAATTCTCAGTATGGTAAAGGTAAAGTTTTATAAAGTTTTGTCCGTGCCCTGGGCTTCTGTAATTTTCATACATCTTTTATAAAAGTAGAAAAAAGTTACTATTTCTTTCTTACCCTGAATGTGCAACTTTCGCTGGTTACTGAGATTCCCTGCTTTGAGCAAATGTCAGTTCAAAAAGTTGACTTTAAAAAAAATACTACTGAAATTGAATATTCATTTAAAAAATCACATTGCTAGACTATGATTTTAAGGTCTGTTTAATTCACATTAAGGCACGGCAGGAGAAGAATTACATGGTAGATCCATTTTCCATTTCAGTGGGGTTTTTTTGGGTAAAAGATTTATCTTAGGAAATGAGTATATTTCTCAAAAAATATGTCATTAAATTTGAAGTTACCTGTAAAAACAAAATCTAAATCCAATTCCCACTCCCTCCCCACTCAGAAAAAAAACGGCAAAAATATTTTATGGTTTGGACTCCATTTTTTAAAAAAATAAAGTGTTACTATTACTGGTGAATAACAGTAAATAGTACCCAATAGTTAGAACAATTGAACAGTATATAAATCAATAACCTTCACAGAATACGTGCTTTTAAGTAATAATGTTACAACATATGCAGTAATGTGGAGTAAGAATTAATTTGCTGGTACTGGTTATTTTTACATTAAGATTTCCTAAGTGCTATATTGATCTCAGGTAACATTATTCCAGCATCATCACTACTTAAATATTGATTATTATAGTTTCATAGATGTTTCATAAGAATTATTAAGATACCTTCTGGGAAGTAAATTTTGTAAAGAAAGGATATTAGAGTTGGTATTTTGGAATGGACGTCTGTATGAATATGTGAGATGGAAGGTCTGGGGACGGTATGGTGACCCATATAAAGTCCCGTAGTACGTAAAGCTCCCTGTTAAGAAATACCTCCTAGTTTTCAGCGTTAATAGTCCTGCTTCTTCCAGTCTACACAGCCTGACATCAGGGCCAGGCTTCTGGGTGTGACAGGATGGCCCCATCCGCCCTACTGAGTGTGACTCATCTTCACAGATAAGAGTGTTTGAGCTGCAACCAGGGGACTCGCGTTTTCGGGAACTGGACATGGTCAGGCCTTACTCTTCCCAAGGATAAGGACACCTTGTCATATTTTGGATATCCTTCATTTTAACGTTTTGTTGGATAAATCTTGGCATATTGATGTGAACTCTTGTATTTGTCTTGAAGGCACGCTGATCCTATGTGTGGAGTCAAGCCATCTGTGGTCAGTAGGGTTCCGCTCTCTGTGGAAGCTGATGGGGCTCCTGTCTCCCTCGCCCCAGCCCTGCTTCCGCCCCCCACCCCCGCCCGCCCGTATCCTGTCAAATGTCATGAATCACAGCTCTGAATATGGCAACTGCAAGCCTTACGGCTGCCGTGTACCTTACAGGAGTCTTTTAGAGGGCATCCTATTTCTTCCCAGAACTGCCTGTTGCCTTGTATGTAAACTGACTGTATATGCTTAGGCTGTCTCTGGTTAGGACAGATTTTTAACGTTAAATCTGATATATAAAGAGTGAAACAAAGAAGGTTCTCTTTGGTGCCTATGGAAACCTTCAAGTGGAAGGCCCAACATACACGTGGTGAGCCCGTATCGCAGTGTTTTAGGTATGTTGAGAAATTAAAGTTTTATCTCTGAAATTTTCTACCACAGTTTTCAAATTTTGATTATATTACTTACTTTCTTGCAATTATGAGACTGAATAAAGCTTTATTAACAGTAGCCCTGGTGATGCTGCCCCAAATCCAGCTTATTAAAAAGTAGATGTACTTTGGAGAATTACATTTGCATATTTTTTGTTTGAGCATTTTACTAAGAATTTTGATTTCACGGTCACTGAACTTCTGAAGGCTAAGGTTTTCTCTGGCTTTTGTTGGATCCATTGTATTAAATTTCTTTGAATATCCAGGTTGGGAATCTCAGTTACAATAACGGGCTGGGAAGGAATATGTAGATTATTTGTTTCTCAGCGGATGGTCCAGTTTGCCCATCCTGTGTAAGCTGACTAAGCATAAAACATCTTGATTAAGAGGAATATTTGAGATTACAAAACTCGGAAGTTACGTACAGGCTTCCATACACTCTTCAATATGGTGAAATCTTGCCCAGTGATGTTCTGATTTCTTTATATTTTTTTTTGAACAGAGTTGAAGAGCAATGGTGTTGAACGGATATATACAGTTGATGTGTTGTGCATGTGTAGTAAACAGGAGCAGAAACTTCCCTTTTTATTCTTGGAACATTTCTTCCCAAAGATTGGAAATAAGAGGAAAACTGTTTCTGAATGTAGAAAGGACTTAGGACCCTTCGTATTCTAGGTTGATGTGGAGCTTGAATCGTATGATACTCTCTCCCTGGCTCTTTATTATTTTTTTAACCTTTGATTGTTTTGAGAAGCTTGAAAGTGATAAATTTATGCTATTATTCATTGTGTTTTGGTGTGTAACTGGAGCAGCAGTACCAGGTTGCCAAACTATCTGATAAATTTGAGTCCCAAAATTTTAGAAATTCAGTATATATTAATAAATACACAGTAAACTTTAAATTAGAAGCTATGTTTTAGATTAAGTCCTTGGACACTGTTTAGCTTTTTATTTTAAAGCTTGAATTTGACACTGACCTGAATCTATTGGTCTTCTGATTTCCTATACATTCTGCCTCAGCGATTTTGTCCAAATCTGTGGCTTAATGCCTAAGGTGCTATATGCAGCCCAGCCTCTCTGAAGAATGTACCCATACATCCACCACTTCTATCTGGTTATCCCATCTTGATCTTAAAACTCAATTCAAAATGATAAAAACCTGAGTACAGAAATCCTCCCCACGTCTCCTAATACAGTGTTTCCATTTGCATCCTTTGCCATCCAAACTCAGATCCTAGGGATTACCTAGGACCCCCTCTTTCTACCTTAGCTTCTCAAGTCCAGTCGTTGCCGAGACTTCCACGTTCAGAGTCTGCGCCATCTTGCGAGTGTGTCCCTCACTTCCATCCCCATCATGACGCCGCTGTCACTTCTCCCCCCAGCCCTTCTGGTGAGCTCTTTATTGGTCTCCCTCTTCTTGGCTTCCTCCACCAGTTCCTACCCCACCCTGACCCTAGTGTGTATTTTGCTCAGTGTACTCAAGCCACTCCAGCGCTTAGAGCCCCCTGAGGGACTCCATAACCTTTGGAAAAGGTTCTGATTTCTTGGCTCAGCACACAAAACTCTTGCTGAACTGGCCTCTGACTCCTCCGTCTGTATCTTTGCATCCCGATCACGCCCTTACTCAAGTCTCATACACGCTTGCTCTTTCACACTTCCGAAGTGTTCTTCCCTTTACCAAAATGCCAGAGGTTTCCTTCTTCCATGAGTTAACCCCTGCCTCAGTGGTCTTATGAAAATCCACAGCGATAAATACCACGTGTTCGCTGTCGACTCCTGTATCTGCTTGCCCGGCCCAGATCTCTCTGAAGAGCACCACATCCATACATCCAACACTTGAGTCTGACTGTCCCGTAATGACCCCAGACTCAAACTTTGTTGTCTCCTTTGGGAAACCTTTTTTTTTTTTTCATATTATAAAGTGTTTATTATTTCCTCCACCTATTAACAAAAAATTAAAATTAATGCTGGCTGCTGAATCAGAAATCTCTCTATATGTGTGCATATATATGTATATGCCTATATATATACACACACATTCATATGCTTTTACTTTCTTTAAATATGCAGAAAAATTCTGACCATTAATGGAATCATTTCTGAATTATTGCACATGACTCTTGCTTAATTATTCACAGACGCCTAACACCATAATGCATTTAATATATGCGCAAATAGACACTAGTGAAAGACTCCAGGCCATGCTTGCTTCCTAAATAACATAATTTCAGCTACATATAATATTCCTTTATTACATGCTAAGTACAAGGATAGATTTATTTTTGTTTTTTAAACATTATGAAATGGTTAAATTATAGATTCTATAACATTTTAATCCTGACTGATTTTCATAACCCATCTTGCAAGGTGGATATCTATTTTTTTTTTAACATCTTTATTGGAGTATAAACGTTTCTTAATCCTGACAGTCTGATTTAGACAATCACACTCTGTGCCTTCGAGGTTCCCTAATTGCCTATCCTGCTTATAAAACTATGTGGTGACATCAGCTGTAATTGTCTGCTCCCCCTACTAGATTGTAAACTCCGTGAGGGCTTGTCTTACAGACTTAGTCACCAGAGATCAACACCGTGCCGGGTACAAAATGTACATGCAATAAACATTTGTTTAAAGAGTGAATACAAACTCAAGATCGTTGACCCTTACAAGTCACTGTATCTGGATTTTGTTACAGTACTTGCAAATAATTTATATGATCTCCCTGGACAGTATTTAGACATATAGTCTTAATATAAGGAGAAGAAGGGAGTTAATGTCTAGGATATTGGTAGAGCATCTTCAGCATGGAAGATGCTTCCTGGTGAAAGTTTGGCCTTCTCGTGATAAACATCATATCAATGACTAAAATAAACTATACAGAGGAAACATCCAGATGGAGAGTAATGTGATACTGAAACATGGTGGGTACGGGAGACAGAATTAGGATCTAATATGACCTTGGAAGTCCAAAGCGATGGGCTGAATCTAACGAGATTGAAGTATAAACTGCACTTTGGTTCAGAAATCATGTGTGCAAGTATAGGATGGGGAAAGCAGTGTGGCTGAACACACTTGGCAAAAATATTAAATAGTGTTGTAACCATAATACAAATGAATAATAATATACTGTAGCATAGTATAATATGACATAATA